GGTACTTTGTAAATCAAAGTAGTGGGCAGCTTTCTGCTACTGGTCAGGGTTTTAAGTCCCAGCTTTATGTGACTTTCATTTCTCTGAGATTATTTTCTCATTTATGAAATGGATATGGATAGCTCTCCCGGCATACTGTTGTATAGACACATTGCTAGTAGTGTTTTGTTTAAGCTGAGTATTTAACATGCACGTTCTTTATATCCCTTATACTTCTTTTAACTTTTTTGAGGTATAAAAACAAACACAAAAATCTTATGTGTACAACTTAGTGGAATTTTGTATATGCTTATACTTTCTTGAAAATATTTAAACTGGATTCCCCTCACTCTCCCCAGCCCCTTCCAAAACAGAAAAAGGAAGAGTTGGCAGTAATTTTATAAAATCTCATGGGACAGTATAAATAAATAAGATTAGGTTCCATACCTGGAGAAAAACTTGTAACTATGCTTTATTCTGCACCATGAGTCATCAAATTTAGCAAGTTCTTCATTTTTTCTCTTGCTTATAATTAAAGGACCATATGGTTATTCAGAAAGCTCTCATCTCTGGCCACCAATGTAGAGAAAAGCCTGAAGCCCAGCCCTCAAAGGCTTCATTATAGGGACTCAGTTTCTACCTGGAGTACAACTGCAGTGTGTTGTACCTTTTCTCCATGCTGTAGTTTTTGCATTTAATTTTAACCACTGTATTGCTAGAGCTTTTAAATCTGTGCTCTTTTTCTGGGTAATACAGCCTGTCTGCTGGTCTTGGCCCATGTGCAGTTAGGCTCCTTACAACCATGTGACCAGGTTATCGCATTTTGGGTAGTGAGCCAAAACCAGGTAAATTTCACTTTCTTTTTTCTGTTTTTGAGGCAAGGTCTCACTCTGTTCCCCAGGTTAGTCTTAAACTCATGATCTTCCTGCCCTCCTGAGTAGCTGGAATTACAGACATGCACAACCATGTCCCACTTAAGATAAGTTTTCTTAAAAAATAAAAAATTTGAAAGTTTTTCAATCAAAGAGCTACTGCTAAAAAACACGATATGGAAAAAGGTGTGTTTAAAACGAAATCTTATTAGATCATTAATTTCTCTTATTTATGATAGATACACTTCACCATTCTTATGTGCTAATTTGGGTTTGGGTGACAGTTACCCTATTAAACATGGGAAAGTCAGATACAGGAGTACTGTTGCTGTGCACATTGAAGGCTGCATTTGATCCATTACTAATGCTTTGTCTTTTCAGGCTTCCGCATCTGGATATGTGGAATGAATTTTTTCACATCATGCTGAATATACCAGATTGTCATCATCTTCCATCTTTGGATTTGTTAAGGCAAAAGCTGAAAAAACTGTTTGAGGAACAGTATGCAAACAAGATTAAAACCCTGCGTAACAGGCTAATTGTACTTCTCTTGGAATATAAGCGTTTAAGAAAATAAAATATAGCTATGGACTCTCCAGAAATATTTTGTAAATACTAACCTCTGTTTGAACTTGATTTTTTTAATACATTTTTTGTTTATTTTAATGTATATTACAAATAAAGCTTAAAAAATCTATGTAGAGAAAGAAAATGTTAGAATGATGACATCATTCCCATTGGTTCCATCCAGGAATGTTTCAGACAACCCATTCCTGGATTGTCTAGAGAGTGGGCCACTAAGCTGTTATGACAACAGAGAATCTACACTGTGGCTTGAGGAAGATGGGAGTGATTTCTTTCTCCCCTTCCAGTCGTTTGAGTGATTCTGTGCTGCCACCAACATGCACTGACACCTAAGGCTTCCTGACATTCTGCTGCCATTTCCCAGCAGTGGAAAAGCAAAGCAAAGGAGGGCACTACTGCCAAGGGCAAGATGCCAGTTGGGCTTGCAGCCCCCAGGCTGATATAATCATGTTGCCCCAGCGTTCTGCCAGCAGGGAGTCCATGTACCATGGAGAGCTGGTCACCAAGCAGCAGAGAATGTGCTGGAGAAAAGTGGTAATCCTGCCACAGAGCCTCCAATTCCCCTCCCTCTTTTGCAACAGCTGGGATGGGGTGCCCCATGTCAGTCACAGGGCTCCGACCACTCTAAGAACTGCAGTTTCTGAACACTGAAAGCAGTATGTATGTCTAACTCTATGACTCTTTCCTGCTGAGGGGCTCACAGCAAGAAAAGGATTACTCTATTGTGACCCAATGTTGAAGCATGTGAAAGGGCATATAGGTTCACGGCTTGTTGAATTCTTAAATCATGCAACTTGGCTAGGAATACGCGGCCCATATACCTGTGTGTACTACCATGAACCAGGTACTGGTAAGCAGAAGAAGCAGATTGTTCAACAATGTATGGTATATGATACATATAAGATAAAAATAGTGTTATGTCACATCTGAATGTACATACTATACATGACTGCACATGGATCTATTTAGCTCTAGAAGGGTGGACAAAATCACCAGTCACCACTGGAAGGGCAGTGTCAGCCTGAGCAGGAAAATGAGAAAGGTGAAGACAACAAAGAGTAAAGAGCAACTTTTGGCTTATATGACAGCATCTCTGGATTGAATTCTTTAAATGATGCATTCTGCTAACTTAAAAAGAAATGCCCATTATATATCAAATTTTAAAATTAAATTTCAACTCCATACATTTTTGTAACACTACGTGACAAGAGCTGTTATATACAAAAAGATAAGAGTTTGGAAGGATGGTGGGACTCCACTGAGTCACTCCTCTCAATCTTGGTGACAGTGGGATTCCAGGACTCCAGTGCCCAATGCCAGCAGTGGGTTTAAGCCAGGAAGAAAGACTTGACTTGCAACAAACACTGCTACAGCGCTGACTGAGCAGGAGCCAGCTTTACACGGTCCTCATCCTCCCTCCATCCCCACAGTCTTGGGAGGAAGGTCGCTGTCCTAATTTGACACATGAAGAAATGGGCTCTGGGGGCACTCTGACATAATCAGTGGGCAGCCACTCTGCCCAAAGCATTTTTTTTTTTTTTTTTTTTTTTTTTTTTTTT